CCCCAAAACCCCAAAACCCCAAAACCCCAAAACCCCAAAGCTTTTATAAATTATTGAAGTAACACTCCAATGGATGAACTCCTCTCTTTGAAGGTAAGCCAGCCAAGCTTTTTAATTCCACAGCCTAGGTATCTTCTGCTTCATGATATCTTAAGATTAATTTTTGGAATTTAGCGGTTTGAAACCCTCTTACCCCGAAAGCTAGAGTTTCAGCTCACTCAAGTCCTTAGCTCACAAGGCATCAAGAAGTAAGAACTTAGAGAAATGTTTAGGACAACCCAGCAGGAATCTGAAATGCTTGTGGAGGAAAAAGATGCTGAAAAAGATGTCAAAAGGGCTAAAATTAACACCAAAGATGACCATAAGAAAATATCTCAAGATATCACAGATATATTCAGTAAGAAAGGGAGGAAGAAATCAAAGAAAATCATCAAGCAGCGCAAACAAGATGAATACCAGCAAAAAGTTTGTGCCTTTAGTTTAACTCATACAGGTTGAGAAGTCTAAACAGGAGAGGGAGGAACAACTACAAAAGTTTGGTACGTAACTTTAGACTTACTCTGTAGCTGAAAATAAAAGAGAGAAAATAAAGCAAGAAAACATCAAGAGGAAAGCTAAACCTGAGCAGGAAAAGCCAAAGTAATTAACGAAGTTTACTGTAGAAAACGTGTCAAAGTTAGCGGCAGCCTCCTCGAATCTGAAGAATTCAAAACTATGGTTGGAAAAGCAGGAATATCAGCCTGGAATGAACAAGGTAAGCATACCAATGAGAGCTTGTAGAAGATCATAAAGATGAGACTACTGAACAAGTAAGAGGCTTTTATTGACCTTTAGACCAAGCAAACAGTATCCTCAATGCTCCAAGAAGAGAACACTAGAAAAATCAGGGACAAATACGATATGGAATATGACAAGGGAAAAGTGAAGAAAATGTAACCCATATACCACAACTATAGCCGTAAGAAAGCCAATCCCTTCAGTAACCCTACCAATGAGTTCCAAAGGATCGAGAACAAGGGTCGCAAGAGGTAAGCCCTCCTCTAACATCCTAGGTACTTGGAAAAGGAGCAAAAGCGTAGAAGAATTCTGAAAGAGAATTCCAAAAACAGTAAATTCAGATCAAAAAGAAGATAACTGTTCAATCTTGATAAACTTTAAAGGGGTTTTGGGGTTTTGGGGTTTTGGGGTTTTGGGG